CCATCTTTATAAATGTTCTTTCCCTTCCTGCAGCCTAGGATGGTAGGTTGCATAGAGTAGGGACAGAATTTTTGGTACAGAATTTATTTTTTAAAAATAAATATTATCACCTTCTCAAATCCAGGTTTACAAACAGATCAACAACTTTGGGAGCACTTAATCTATTTCCAGTAAACTATGGGTCTGACTCTTCTTTTTGAAGGCAATTTTTCTCCATGCATTTAAAGCAACTGGCTTTTTAAAAGTGGACAAATTCAGAAGTTCTTTAAAATTAAATTCAACTGAAGAGTGCGTTTATTTTGTAAGACAAGTGTTACCTAAGGCTTCTTTTTGTGTTGGATTCAGCTGGAGAATTGGTCCAAGAACACAGGATGAGAAGGGAAGCCAAGTCAATGCTAATGTGGCTTAAAGATGAGTGAGAGATGATTGTGTTGCAGTTTGGTAAAATTGGCCTGTTCTGTTTTCTGTTGTGTAGTATTACTACAGTGTCAAGAATATCAACATTGGTGGGTGGTGTTTCTGCAACGGCCACGCTGAAATGTGCAGCACAAACAATCCCCAAAAACGGTACGTACACTGTGCAAGTTTTCCACTCTTGCTAGGAATAAATACAATTATTTCAGTGAATGTTTGTGTCCCATTAGATATTCCTAGTCTCCTGTCTTCAGTAGGAATGTTTCAGGGTCAACAAAAATGATGTGTGCACACCTCTCCTTCTGTAGCCTTCCACTTCTTTCCATAGATCTGCAGTGGACCCATGGAAGACATGACTAGTCAATCACAGCACTCCATGGATGATATGGGATACAGCCACTACCCCTAACCAAAGCCGATGCCCTAGGCAGCCACTAATCATTTTTTCCCAGTCAGTTTGATTTTGCATTTACTTGATTGTGGGCTTCTGCCATGTTTGATGTTTTCTACCTGAAGGTGGAATAGGCCCAGAAGGTAAGAGCCCACCCTGGGTCTGACCCACTGTGAACATATTCTCATGCAAACAAAAAAACCTTGTGTGACTGCCATTTAAAATATGATGAGCTATTAAAAGAGTTTCAGCCCTGGTTAAATTCGGCCTACACAAAGGAATCAACAATGAAAATCTGTTTCTAAATCACGTATGGAAGCATGGTGCTGGCAAGTGTTTAAATACTGTTTTTCTCCAGTTCAAATTATACTTCAGTGATTTAAAGAATTACGAAGGGAAGTAAATCTGTTTATTTTAGATGCTTTTTCAGGTACTAAAAGTACCCATATGAAAAGTACATAATAAGAGGTGATACCCAGAGTAAATCTAGAGCAGTCATGAATTTTGAATATTTTTTAAAGAGAAAAAAGATAAACAATGAAACCGAGTTTCAAAACAGCTTAGTCAGTTACAGTAGTTGATACATTGCATATTGTTGTCTTCCCTTAAAGAAGTTATTCAGATATCTTAAAAACACGAACCACACCCACTGCTCCCAGAAGTCTGATAATGATTGGATTTCCCTAGAAGGAGGCTTCTGGGCAGGCCAGGCTGAGCTCTTTTGTCATTTTTATGGCATTTCTTTTCTCTTTCTGCACTTCCTATGCCACTTCACCTCTGATTTGACAGTGTAGGTGGATGATACTCACCAGTCAGCTTATTCTATCCAACTGGTTTAAGATGAAGGTCGCCATTTCTTTCCACTATGGACCCTCATGAAAAGAGCTGGTTCTAGATGCAAACAACAGAATTTAAGCCTGCTTTTGTGACTTACCTGTGTTGCCAGAGAAGCTGTTAATAGCTGATTAAATTTAGCAAGATAAATAAAATTTATTTATCATCCCTGATTTAATGGGATGAGAGGCTTAAGGATTTTCAAATCCTTTTAAAATATATTTTTTAGTTGTAGTAAAATACATATTACCTAATTTTCCATTTCAACCACTGGTAAGTAGTACTGAGTACATTTATAAGTGTTGTGAAAGTGAACTCCAGAAGTCTTTTCATCTTGCAAAAGTGTGAGTCCATCCTGGTTAAACAACCATTGACCTGTACCTGCCAGGCTGTGGCCAGCACTGTGCCTCTTTGGTGTTGGTGTTAATGTGATGGTGTGAGAGAAATCAACAAAGTGGGAATTTACAGTATTTGTCTTTTGGTAGCTGGCTTAGCTCACTTAGCATACTGTCTTCAAGGTTCATCCAAGTTGAGCAATGTTCTTCCCTTTTAAGGCTCAGTAATATTTCATTATCTGTCACATTTTGTGTCCTCATCCATCCATAGTTGGGCACCTGGGTTACTTCCATCTTTTAGCTATTATGACGAATGCTTCTGGGAACATGAACATCGCCCTTTTTTGATTTTTAGCTACTTTGCAAACAGTAAGATGCATGGATCTCAAATGTCATGTGGGCAGCAGTTGTGCACATTTGTGTTACTAACCTAGATGGATACTTGTTAGGGTGGAAGTTACTGGATGCTAAATATAGTAATAATTCCCTCTCAAAGTTTTACTTAGAGTCTAGACTTCCCCATAAGAGGTATTTACCAGAGATGTATGTTACTCTCAGCCAGACTCAGGTTTATACATCTTTTGGCCAACTTTGTGTTCAGGCAGAGTTGTCACTACCAATTTGTGTGGTGTGCCTTGTAGAGTTCTTGTCTCTAATCAGCGACAGTCACAAATGTTGCCATCCCTCCCTGGAGACCAGGAGGCATCTCCGAGGGTGCTTGTCCATCCAGTGACCGACATGTAATTAGCAAGGGCTTGCTGGTTCATGACTGCTCTGTCTTCACAAGGGACCTTCCTGGAAGGTGGAGCTCTAGGATACTAAATCAGGAAGTCCTGATTTGGAGAAAGACGAGAAACAAAATGGTTCCATGTGGAGCAAGAAGGGAAGCCATTAGACAGGGACTCAGCTTCCTCTTTAGAAGGGCTGTCAAACCCTGTTAACCCCGGCAGACCTTGACAACTTTTGTCCTGGGTGGTTAATGTCTCCTGGTCCATGTGAGCAGAGAGTCCTTCTCCCTGTGCCTTGATGGGAACTCAGATTGCTAGCCTGCTCCAGCACCACTACTTTGTCCTCCCTTGTCTACTGTTTTTTCCAGCTCTACAGACTGACCTTGAATATGATGAAATCTACACCCAAGAGCAACAAAAAAATCTTACAGCATATTTAACGGGATTCAGTGACTTAGTGGAGGGAGCTAAGGCTGGATAATCATGAAGTTAGTTGCTAAGCAGGCACAAGACCAAGCATGTGTACCATATGGACCTTGACGCATGGATAGATGGATCACACATTCAATTCTGAGCTCCCTGGCTGCCAACTAAAAAAGGGAAATCTACTTGGTTTCATATTTATTTTATTTTCTCTCACTCATTTTTATATTGCTCAGATTAATGGATTTCATTTTGACAGATTGTACATGCACGTAACAGAGATTGATAATTTTCAGCTCCCCTCATCTCCTCCCTCATCCTCCCTCTTCCTGTTGGTCTGACATTTTGGGGGAACTCAACATGTATAATATATTTTGCTCATATCCATTCTCCCTTTCATTCCCTCTCCTCCCTCTTATTTCTTTCCTCTTGTCTAATAATAATCCCACTTCTGCTTTCTTGTTACCTTTTTAAGATTCCACAAATTAGGGAGAACATGCAATAATATTTTTCCACTCTGACTTATTTGCCCAACCTGATGGTCTCCAGACCCATCTATTTTCTTCAAATGATGGAATCTCATTGTTTCTTTTCGCTGCATAATATCCCACTGTGTATATCTACAACCGCTTCTTTATCCATTCATCTATTGATTGCTATCTAGACTGGTTCCATATCTTGGCTGTCATGATTGTGCCACAGTAAACATGGGTATGCGAGTGTCCCTGGAGAATGCTGACTTTAGTTGCTTCAGGTACATACCAAGGAGTGGTACAGCTGAGTCCAGTGCTAGCTGTAGTGTTTGTTTCTGGAGGAACCTCCGTACTGATTTCCCCGGTGGCTATAATAATTTACCTTCCTGCCAGCAGTGTAGAAAGGTTCCTTTAGCCCTCCATCTTCACCAGCACTTACTGTGTTTTGGATTCTTGCTGATAGTCATTGGGACTTGGGTAAGATGCAATCTCAATGTAGTTTTGATGTACGCTTCACTTGGTTTCACATTTCACTGTGATTAGAATCTAAAAACTAATCACCTGCTTGTGAGAAACAGACTGTAGACACTGGAGCTAGATATGAATTTTCCCTGGGGGTTGGCAGAGACAGCGTTATTGGAAAAGATTCTGTACCAAACGACATGTTTCATAACATTGTTATAGCAGACACAAGGACAAATTTTCTAAATAACCTGAACCCTGGACTGAGAGCAATGACTTGAGAATGACAACATGACTCAGACAGTTACTCTACTCTTTTCTTCTCTTTTCTGATACTGTGTTCAATTTTAGTTTTCCAGGGTGAGGGATATAGCTCAGTGGTACAGGCACCTGCCTGGCAAGCGCAAGGTCCCGAGTTCAACTCCCGGTACAAAAAAAAAAGATTTTTTTTTTAGTTTCCTTCTAAGGATACATGGACTATATGTTCTTTAAGCAGTGTTCCCTAAATATTCCCTCAGCCCTCATATGCCAAGTGTTTTGTTGGCAATGGCTGAATGCCTCTCTGACAGAGGTCATTTGGGCTCCCGCTGCTATATGCTGCCCGCTAAATTACGTCCATGTCCTTCAAGAGACAGTTGAGCAGGGAGTGAGATGACACCTGCTCTTAGGAGTGTGACTGAATGTGTGCCATTCCCGCTTTCCTTGAAGGAGAGCTGAGGGAATCTCACAGGCCCTGCCAGGCACTTCTCAGACAACTGCCTGGAATCCTGTTGCCAGCATGGACGAATGGAAAACTCAAAGCTTGGTGTTCTGACCCAGTACCAAAGCTACAGCCATCTCATTTTAACGTGGAAAAATTTTAAGACAAGTGTGAGATGTTCAGATCTTTACACCTCTGCCTTGCCAAGTGATCTCAGCCTTTGGCCCCTGACGGAGCAGAGAACTCTCAGATCTTTCTGGTAGCTGTCACTTGACCAGTAAATCTCTGCGCATAACCATAGGCTGAGAGTAGGAAACGTGAGCAGACCTTTGCTCAGGACTACTCCAGATACCGGGAAAGATGTGAGACTGAACACACCCCAGGAACCTTAGAGCCAGTGCTTGCTCGTTGCCTCATCTATTGTAACATAACGTGGAAGAGAAGAAAGAGCGGGGGCTGCAGAGTCAAACTTAGGCATGAAAGCTGGCTCTCTGTTGGTCCTGCTTGGCTTTTTGCAAGTGTTTCACTACCTCTGCATTTGAGTTTCACATTGATGAAAGGGAGATAAGAAGCGGGATGTGGGGGGCTTGAAATGATATACGCGACATGCTTTGTTGTTGTAATTATTCCACAATTGTTGCAAGGAGGATCCTTTGACTGTATCACATGTCACTTTGGCACACAGGAACAAGTGATCCTAACCAAAACTTTTTAATAACTGCGCTATGCTTTGCCCACACACCCAGGCTCCAGTGTGAATGCCAGCACAACACCTGTGGGCAGACATGCAACACCTGCTGTGCGGGGTTTAATCAGAAGCGCTGGCAGCCGGCCACGTCCAAGCAAGACAATGAGTATGAAGGTGGGTGCTGGGTGGGGGCGGGGGTGAGGCCCTGGCTCTGGCTTCTCCCCTGTACACCTGAGAGTGATGCCCAAGCCTGTGAGGAGGCTGGAGCATGCCAGCTTTAGGACTCAGGTCAGGTGTTGTGCAGGAGTCCTCCTTATCCTTGGGGTAAGTTCCAAGGTCCCCCAGAACCAAGCAAACTACTGAACCTTGTATATGCCATGTTTTCAGTATATATGCATACCTCGGATAAAGTTGGATTTATACACTAGACACAGTAAAAGACAACAAGCACACATAATAAAATAGTTATAACAATATCCTGAAATAAAAGAAGTTATAGTAGGTATAACAATACACTGAAATAAGATTGCAGCATCTCTGCTCTTATTTTTCAGGACCACTATCTAGTAAATAAGAGTGACCACTTTGAGCCTCAGTTTTTCTATCTGGGAACAATGTCACTCACTGTAGAGAGTTATTGAGCAGAGTGAGTGTGATAATATGTGTAAAACACCTTTCACAGTATATAAAGAGCTCAGTTATTGTTAGTAGAGTAACATCAGTAATAGTAATCATCTCTGTGTATGAAGTCTAATTGGCATTTTGGTGTATCTTAATTTGTTATAAGTGCATATCTTTTCAAAAGAAGGGAACCATTTTCATTTCCTATCTAATGGAAGGAACTATACATTATATAATGTTATATACCAGTCTTTGTGTAAAAGCTCCTAAACTACTTCTCTAAGAGAAGCCCTGATATTCCAGAAAGAACTTCACTATAGCTCAATGAGCAGTAATACCATCTGGAAGTTTACTGTGTGTCTCACAGTGATGATGGAATACTGATCTAGTATGCTTTTTTTCAGCCTGCAATTGCCATGGCCATGCCACAGACTGTTACTATGATCCAGATGTTGAACACCAGCAAAAAAGCTTGAATATCCAAGGTATCCGTGCAGGTGGAGGGGTCTGCATCAATTGCCAGGTGAGACACAGTGAAATCAAAGTGAATGTGTCACGACAGGGCATGAGCATTCTGTAAGCCATGCTCTCAAAGGGATGTCAAGAGAATACAGATGCAAATAAAAATCTTTTCTGAGACCATTTCTTCACATGTGGCCACAAAAAGCTTTATTAGCTAGATGTAATTTAGGGATGATAAGGAAAGTGGACTGAGGTATGTTTATCTCAACACCTTTGAGTATGTGTTCAATGTCAATCTTTGCCTAAATCAAGAGAGTTCCTGGCTACTACCCCACTTGTGGTGGAAAAACTCCAAGGTAGGAGGGGCAAATAGGTATCAACTTCAGTATTGACCTTAAATCCTGCTTTCAAGCAGATTCTGAGTCTAGACACATTGAGGAAATGCCTCATGATTGGTTAATGACGTCTGCCACAGATACCAGGTACGAAGCAATCATTATTCACCTCTTCTAGGACAGCTAGCAAAGTAGAAGTGAACTCTTGCAGTCTGATAAAGGACAGTAATTGAAATCCAACAGCTAGCATCACATTAATAGTAACATATTAAACTCCTTTGTTCTCAATAATGGGAATAAGACCAGGATATTTACTCTTTACCACTTGTTAAACAGCAATTTAGAGTTTTAAACTATTGTGACAAGCATGAAAAAGAAGTAAAAGGAAAGAAGAAATAAAATTGACTCTATTTTCAGTAGACATGATTATTTATGTAGAAAATCCTAAGGCACAAAGAAAATGATGCCTAGAATTAATAAGTGAATTTAGGAAGATTGCAAGATACAAGGATAATATATAAAAATGAACTGTAGTTTTATATACTTGCAGCAGGAAACAATAGGAAAATGAACTAAAAATTCAATTCAAAAGTGTATAACATACTTAGGAATAAACACAGCAAAGGCATACAAGACCTCTATAGAGTACTAAAGTTATAAATTATTACTGAGACAAATTTAGAAAGATCTACATAAATGGGAGGGAAAAGATAATGGATAATGATGTTTATGGCTTGAAAGCTCAATAATGTTATGATGTCAATTCTCCTCAAATTGACCCAAAGATTTAATGTAGGTTTCTGGGTAGGAATTGACAATCAGATTCCTAAGTGTATGTGCATATGTAAATTGCCTACAATATACAAAATGATCTGGGGGATTTATCACCATCATAAAGAAATGATCCATGTTCAGAGAGATTATGTTTACCCTGATATAATCACATGAAATGTGTATATGTATGGAAATGTCACATGGTACTCCCTAGATATATGTAACTTTTATGTTTTTCTTTATCTGTTAAAATAGATTTAAATAAAATAAAAAGCTTCAAAATTTATGTTATTTTACTTTAAGACTAACTATAAGGCTGTAGTAATCAAGACAATGAGATATTGACATAAAGTAACAGAAAATTGGCAGAGGATAGACCCACACTTCTGTGGATACTTGATTTTTGATAAAAAAAATAAAAAACAAAAAACAGCCCAATGAGGGAAAGTTCTTTCAACAAACGTTGCTGGAAAAAATGGATTTTATGTGAAAAAGGATAAACTTTCATACTTATTCAAAGTCTTAAAAATTAAATTTGTATAAATCATGGATCACAAATAAAAGTAAAACTGTAAAGCTTTGGAGAAAAATGCAGAAAAATATCCCTTTGATTCAGAGAATGAGAAAGTTTTCTTAGGTTGTGTACAGCAGTAACCGTAGGAAATGCACAATTAAACTTCATCAAAATTAAAAAGGCCTACTCCTGAAAAACAATATTAAGAAAATGAATAGGCAAGCTGCAGACAGGGAGAAGATACTCAAAAAACATAATCTGACAAATGATTGCATCCAAGATATATAGAGAAGTCTCACATCTCAGTTATAAAAACAAAAAGAATTCCCTAGAGTTAAAAATCTTTTTTTTAATCCAAAAGATTTAAACAGCCACTTCACACTTTAGCTATGTAAATGGCCATTAAGAAATGCTTAATATCCTTACTCATCAGAGAAATGCAAATCAAAATGGCATAGTACCATGGAGTCACCAGGATGGCAATTATTTAAAAAGGCTAAATGTTTTTTTCAGTTCTTTGTATATTCTAGGTAGAAATCCTTTGTCTGAAGGATAGCTAGTGAAATATTTCCCCCACTCTGTAGGTTGTCTTTTCATTCTGTTGGTGACTTCTTTTGCTGTGCAAAAGCTTTTCAATAGGATGAGATCCCAGTTATTGATTCTTTGTGTTATTTCCTGTGTGATCGGGGTTTTGTTCATGAAATCATTACCTACACATATGTCTTCAAGGGGTCTTCCTAGAGCTGAGCGCCATCTTCCCTTTCAGCCACGCGGGAGGAGGGACAGGGATGGGGCACAGGGTGTGAGGCTGGGGTCCGGCCACGCAGAGCAGAGGACGCGGTGGCGCTGCGAACGCCCAGCAGAAAATTTCAAAAGTGTCTCAAATTCTTGTGGAAAATCTTGACAACATCAGAAATGTGCGGAAAAGGATGAAAAGTGTTCTTATGAATACTGGACTTGACACTGCCAGGAGTTACTGAGGGACCTTAAAGGCTTTGATCCAGGAGAGAAGTACCTTTATAACACATCATGGGGTGATGTTTCTCTCTGGTAACCTTCTGGAAAGAAAGTGTACGAGATGTCATCAAAATGGAAAAGTGTGCATTCACTAGGAGAAAGCAAGAAACAAAAGCAGGAAAACGAAGATCATAATCAACTATGGAGCTGGTGAAAAATTTAAAAGCAATAGCACAGTACTTGAATTTGATGCATTCAACCATTTCAACAATCCTGGAGGATAAAGACAGAATGAACCAGGCAGTGAAAACATCAACAGGTTTTAAAACCATATAACTAGACAGCAGAAAGGCATCAGTTATGACATGGAAAAATTATTGGTGATGTGGTTTGATGAACAGATTCACAAAAAAATTCCAATGAGTTTTTCAGGAATTCAAACCAAGGCACTCAGTATCTCTAAGCTTTGGAGCCACGTGAAAGCAAAAAATTGTTGGAAACTTTTGCAGCGAGTCCTGGATGGTTTCAGCAATTTTGTCGGAGATTTAGCCTGCATAATTGGGTGTTAGTGGTGAGGTGGGAAGTGCAGATGTAGAAGCAGCAGAGAACTTTCTGGACTAATTTGATAAAATCATAAAGAAAGGCAGCTACTGTCCGGAGCAAATCTTTAAAGTGGATGAAACTAGACCTTTTGAAAGAAAATGCCTGAAAGGTCCTACATAGACAAGCTAAAACCATGCTCAGGCTCAAGGGCAGAACATGTTTCTGGGAGGAAATGTTACTGGGTTCCAGTTGAAGCTTTTCCTCGCCTGTCACTGCAAACTCATGTGCACTGAAGCAGGTTAGGTAGCACATGCTGTCCTCATTACCAAGCAACTAACAAAGTAGGGGTGATGCTGGCCATATCTGAAGACTGGTTCATCAGTTGCTCTCTATGTTCAGTGAAGTTTTACTTTCTGGAAAATGGCGTTCCCTTTAAATCATCCTCCTGCTTGATAATGCTGCAGGCCCCTCCCAGCATTTTGATGATGGTAGTGCACCCAGATATAAAGATAGTGTATCTGCCTAGAAACACAGCTGCTATCTTAAAGCCCATGGCTGAGGGGACTGTAGCCACCTTCAAAGCATACTGTTTGTGCACAACTTTTTGCAAAGCTGTAGCAGCTACAGAAAACAATGAGGTCACCCTTAGGGATTTTGGAAATCACACCATTTTAGATTGCATTAAGAACATTGAATCATCCTGGGAAGGATTGACAGGACACTGTATGTGAGGGATATGGAAAAAATGCCCAAAACATTTTGTGCATAATTTAAAGCATTTGACAAAGGTGAACATGGCAATGTCATAGATTAAACAATCGTGGAGCTTGCTAACATGCTTAATTTGGAGGTTAAAGTGCGAGATATTTAAGAATCAGTGGAATATGTGCAGGGAGCACTAAGTATGGAAGACTTCAGAGAGTTGGAAGCACAGCAGCACTTAGAAGAGGGGGAGGAAGAAGAGGAGGAATTGAAGAAGTACCAAAGAAGTCCACTAAAAAGGGGTTAGCGGGTGTGTTCTCAAAAGTGAATACAACTATGTTACAGCTAGAGGCTGTGGATCCAGATGAATGTTTCACAAAAGTGGAACGGCAAATGAATGAACTTTTATGATGCTGTCATGAAACTTCTAAAGCAAAAAAGGAAATGACAAAACAGACCACAATAATGGAATTCTTCTTCTTTTGGTTACTTGAGACAGGGTTTTGCTGTATAGTTCAGGCTGGCCTTGAACTCACTATGTAGCCCAGGTTGGCCTCAAATTTGTAGTGATCCTCCTGCCTCAACCTCCTGAGTTCTTTGGTCACAGGCCTGCACCACCATGCCCAGTGCAATTCTTCTTAAAAGCTATACCCAGGACCCCTACTACTAATTCTTCCATTTCTACTTCATCATCTCCCTTACCTGGGCCATTTACATGTTCTGATTATAATTGTGATGATAACACTGGTGGGACTTTGAAGGATTCGTGACTAAAATGTTAGCTTGAATTTTTTTTTTATACACTTCTGTACATCTTGCTTATAGAGCATCAGTGTCTTTTTTCTGTACAGTACTCTTGTTTATATAGTACTCTAATTTTTGCTGACTGTACTGTACAACACAGAATATAGTTTTATGTTTTGGTGTACATTTTGTTACTACATGTAAGAGTTATGCAAATAAAAGCAAAGTCATAAAAAAAAGAGTTCTGCCTGTTCTCTGTTCCAGCAGATTTACTGTTTCTGTTTTAATATTTAGGTCTTTGATCAATTTTGATTTTAGTTTAGTGCATGGTGATAGACATGGGTCTAGTTGTAGTCTTTGGCATGTGGAAAGCCAGTTTTTCCAGCACCATTTATATTAAAGAGGCTGTCTTTCTTCCAGTGAATGTGTGACTCACATTTGCATAACTCTTGCATGTAGTAACGAAATGTAATGTAAACATTACATTTTCTC